ATGATACTCAAGGTCTCCATTTAAACAGTCGTTAAGGAGATAATAGTTCAGAGAGGAATGCTAAGTAATTAGTAATTAATAGCTCAATATTAAGCCAGTCCCTAGTGATAATCAACAAGGGCCCACGGACTAAATTCTGGTATTGCTGTTTATACGTAGTTCAGCGGAAACTGAGTTTTAGTGAGGTTTAAGCTTTCCCATCAGTGTTTCAATTCTTACTTAACCAGTAAATGAGAACTGGAATTTATATAGCACCATTCATCTTCAGCACATCCTAATGCACCTTGTAGTCACTGATGTACATTTGTTTTGCTCAAGGGATATGGGCATTAAATGGCAAGGCCATCATTTGTTGCCCATCCCTAATGGGCCTCGATCCTGGCTTGCTAAGCTATTTGAGACGGTGGTAAGAATCAACCACATTGCTGTGTGTCTGGGGTTGCATGTCGGCCAGACCAAGGATGATGTCAGACTTCCTCCCTTAAAGGACATTAGTGAACCAATTGAGTTTTATAACATAAAAACTGAAAGAACTGCGATGCTGTAAATCAGGAACAAAAACAGAAGTTGCTGGAAAAGCTCAGCAGGTCTGGCAACATCTGTGAAGAAAAAAATCAGAGCTAACATTTCGGGTCTGGTGGCCCTTCCTCAGAACTGATGGTAGCTGGGAAAATGTAGGTTTATATACAGAAAATAGGGAGGGGGTTGGGGTAGGAAGTAAACAATAGGATAAGGACAGAGTCCAAAGAGAGAGAAGAGCAGTTGAATAGACAACGGAGTTTATAACTATCTGGCTTGGAGGGTGAATGGCTGTTAATGGGGACTGTTACTGTCCCATGTCCTAGGTCCCTACCCCACACACCAGGCCTTGTTATCACAGCCTGCCATTACACACCACCTATTGTTAGCTAACAGTCCCCATTAACAGCTATGCACCGTCCTAGCCAGATCGTTATCAACTCCGTTGTCTATCCAACTGCTCTTCTCCCTCTTCAGACTCTGTTCTTTATCCTATTGTTCACTCCCTCCCCCATCCTCCTCCCTATTTTCTGCATATAAACCGATGTTTTCCCAGCTACCATCAGTTCTGAGGAAGGGTCACTGGACCCGAAATGTTAACTCTGAGGTTTTCTTCATAGATGCTGTGAGATCTGGTGCTTTTCCACCAACTTCTGTTTTTGTTCTTGAGTTTTATAACAATTGAGAATGGAGCAGTTAGGGAAGGGCAATAAATAATGACCTAGCTAGCAACACCGACACCTATGAATGAATAGAAAATCCAGAATGTGCAGACATGGAAAGTACGGGAAGCAAATTCAATAAGAACGTAAAAAAGGATATGGAAAAACTCTTGAAGGGAAAGATTGACAGTACTATGGGGAATCAGCAGGGAAAAAGAGATAGTTTTACCAAAGGGCAAGGAAGTCCTTGTTGAGAAGTGGCCTCTGGACAAAAGGTTCGAGCCCCACTTCAGAACTTAATGGTCAAGGAAATGCAGCCAAACCAATTTAGTGTCAACCCAAAAATTCCTCAAACACCTGCCACTAGCAGGCAGTAAGCAGGAGAGATTCCTGGTCGGCCATGTGAGGGAGAGAAAATTGAAGCCTCTACTGTCACCTGGCCACCTTCGTGCAGATAAAAGTGTCTGTTGCCACAGTTACTCAGACTCCCTGAGTGAACTTTTACACGCTGCGAGTGAAGAGTTAGAATGGCCAAGATAGGCTGAGTAGTCTCCTTCAGCACCAAGTCATGCTACAAGCCTCCACTTCCTTTGATCCAATGGCAAATTTGAAAACAGACAAAGCGAAAGGTAATCCGATCATTATAGACACCTTGTTCACAATTCCTTGTAGCTTGCAGAAAATGCCAGAAATACACAGCAGTCTTATTGGCATGTTTTTTTTTGAGGGGAGCGGGGGGAGTTGGGATGTGCATGTTAATGGCTGAAAGCAACCCAAACCACCTGAATTCTTGCTCTTGCCCTTCAGACGTTGTTGAACCCACCCTCCTTGTTGGAAACTTTTCCGTTTCCACTTCAGATTTCCATGATGTTTTTTCTCCCCTCAATCTTGCCAAAGTAGATTTTTTGTTTTAATGCATTTCAGAACAATGATCTCAAAGGTGGGAGTGACCTCGGCTGAGTACCTGGATCCACTCTAAAACAAACTCCTCTATTCTCTCACGCAGATAGAGACTCGATGATAAGACAGTGATGGCAGGGAGAAGTGTTCTTGGCAGACAGACAAGGCAACAGATAAAAGGAATTTTTGGTGTATGCAGGCAACCATGAATATAGGGGCAAGAGGCTGATAATTGCAATGCAGGCAACACTGCCCCCACTCCTATTTGGTGGGACTGCGATCGGGGTTGGGGGGGGGGAGCTGGTTGAGACGGTCAACTTGGGCACAGTGTCCATGACAGTGTGGTAAAGAAGAGAGAGAGGAGGGGCAAGAAGTGGGGGGAAACAAGGAGAGAGACAGAGGGGTCAAGTGGAGAGAGAGGGAGCAAACGGAGAGAAAAGAGACAAGCAGAGAGGGAAGAGTGATGGGGCAAGGGCAGAGGGAGAGGAGCAGCATGGGGGGAGAGAGAGGGGGAGGACAAGCCTAAGGGAAGGATGGGGAAAGAGGAGCGAAAGTGGGAAAGGGAAAGAGAGGACAGGGAAGGAGAGACAGAGAGAAAGAGAGAGACAGCAGGAAAGGGGGAAGAAATAGAGAGGGAGTGAAAACCAGGAGGGTAAGTGAAAGAAGAGAGGGAGAGAGGAGAGCAGACACAAGAGGTGGGAGAGAAGAAAAAAGAGACAAGATTAGACATGTAATGTATCCAAAGACAGACACAGAGAATTACAGATATTAGATATCGAGGTGATAGGGATCTTGTTATGTTTGATGGAAGATAGCAAATTGAACTGGCAGAGTGCTAGTGCTGCAGCACAGCCCTTACTGCCTGTGGTTATCAGACTGTATGGATCACTGATATAAAAAGTTACAGGACCAAGAGAAGACAAGTTACTGCTGTTGGGAGGAGACCAGTGAACAATTATTAGAACATTCTTTTCAATCTCAATCATTGAAGAATGACATTCAAACTTAAAAAGAAGAATACGCAGTGAATTGAACATCTCACGCTGGGGCCAAACTTCCTTTCCACAAACCTTACTAGGTCACGATCTTTGATTACGCATCAGCTAGTATCATCCTTTCAATTTCCCTATGTCAACTGTCACAGAGTAGTTAAAAACCAAAAGAAGTGTGGATGCTGTAAATCAGGAACAAAAACAAAGTTGCTGGAAAAGCTCAGCAGGTCTGGCAGCATCTGTGTAGGAGAAAACAGAGTTAGGAGAAAACAGAGTTGAAATCTGTTTTCTCCTGCACTCCTAACTCTTTTCTCCTAACTCTGTTTTCTCCTACACAGATGCTGCCAGACCTGCTGAGCTTTTCCAGCAACTTTGTTTTTGTCACAGAGTAGTTGCTAGTTTAGGTCACCAGATGGCTCTGACTTTATTTCCAGCATGTATTAAAAGCTCGTGTTATGCTGAGTCATGGGTAGCGGTACCACGGGTAATTATATAGGGGCAAAGAAAGTAATAGACTCTGGATTGGCCGGAGTTGCATAGACAAATTGATACTGTGATTAAGAGAGTAAAATAGGAAAGTTTAAGTCACGTAGCCAAAGGCTGTATTCCCTCATCTAATGACTAAGGGATGAGCTTTTTGAAGTGGTTCCACAATGATGAATGGACTCGGTGGATGAACCACTGCAGGCCATGTGCTGTAGGTATACACGCAATGTCCTTACAGAGGGGATTCCAGGATCTTGACCCAGCGACAGTGAAGGTACAGCGATATATTTCCAAGTCAGTGAATAGCTCGGAGGGGAACTTGCAGGGGGTGGTGCTCCCATATATCTGCTGGTCCTGTCCGTCTGCACAGGAGTGGTTGTGGGTTTGGAAGATGCTGTCTAAAGATCTTTGGTGAATTGCTGCAGCACATCTTGTAGATAGTACACACTGCTGCTATTGGGCATCGGTGGTAAAGGGAATTAATACTGAAGGCGGTGGATGTGGTCAAGTGGGCTGCTTTATCCTGGATGGTGCTGAGCTTCTTGAGTGTTGTTGGAACTGCACTCATCCAAGTAAGTGGGGGCTTTTCCATCACACTCCTGACTTGTGCCTTGTAGACAGGCTCTGGAAAACAGGAGGTGAGTTACGCACTGCGAAATTCCCACCTGTAGCCTGCTCTTGTGGCCACCGTCTTTAAATGAATGGTCCAGTTCAGTTTCCAGTCAATGGCAAACTCATTTATTGCATCTGGAAATCCCCTCAACAACTAACACCTTGTGATATACTCATGTTTAATGATTGTATTTTGGCATTCACCGAATCAGATAGTACAGAAGACGCCTTCGGCCCATTAAATCTGTTTCACCAAAAATACACTAAGTCTACACTAGTCTCATTTTCCCACACCAGGCCTATTGCTTTGAATGTTTTGATATTATAAGTGCTCGTTCAAGTACTTTTAAAGGTTGTTAGGTTTCCCGCTTCTGCTACCTTCCCAGGCAGTCCATTCCAGATTCACACTACCATCTCCGGAGGTTCCTTGTAATTTCAGTACGACTTTTAAGGTGCCTTCACTATAATGTGTAAAGGCAGAAGTTGCAGGGCAAACCAGGTTATAGTCCAACAGGTTTATTTGAAATCACAAGCTTTCGATGCCCTGCTCCTTGGTCAGGGAAGGAGTACTTCACCTGACGAAGGAGCAGCGCTTCGAAATCTGAGATAGTAGGAACTACAGATGCTGGAGAATCCGAGACAACAAGGTGCAGAGCTGGATGAACACAGCAGGCCAAGCAGCATCATAGGAGCAGAGAGGCTGACGTTTCGGGCCTAGACCCTTCATCAGAAAAGGGGGAGGGGAAGGGGGTTCTGAAATAAATAGGGAGAGAGTGGGAGGCGGATAGAAGAGAGGAAACAAACAGGTCGAAGAGGCGGGGATGGATTTCAAACAAACCCTTTGGGCTATAACCTGTTATAGTGGGACTTCTGCCTTTGTCCACCCCCGTCCCAATACTGGCACCTCCACGTCATGTGTAAAGGAAATATGCCCATTTAAGAATATGACCATCTACGGTAATAATGAAAGGATAGTAGAGTCTCTATTGCCAGAGCCGAGAAATTAAACCCGGATCTCATCATCTTCGTCCGCAAAGGCAAAGGCCTCAGTCTTCAGGGGGCTGAAGGCCATTCCCTGAGCCGGGGACAGGCGCCTCTCTCTGTATTCCTCCCCGTACGCCTCACCTCTCTCCTCGCCGTCCGCCGGGACACGTTGCCCCGACGATGGTGACAGCTTTCTCCAGCTCCCTGGGCTGCTACTGCTGGTGCTACTGCCGCCGCCGCTACTACGGCTGTCCACCCCCTCGGCGGCCCGGTAGCGGCACGATTCTGTCGGCGGCGAGGCGACAAAATGGCGGCCGGTGGCGCGCGGGGCGCCGCTGTCCGTTGGCTGGCTGCCCCCACGTGCGCTAACCGTCTCCCTTGGCGCGAGCTGCTGCCGAGCGTCCGCTCGGAGGCTGCTGCCGACGACGACGACGACGCCCCTCGTGCCGCCAAGCTCGTTTGAATCCGGATAACTGATGGAGCCACCGCAATGCCGGAGGACGTGTCGCTCTGAAGGATAGTTCTGCGGCCCCCTCAGGCCATCCGGATCTTCGGGGTGCGGGTCCACAGCGCCCTTCTGCTGGTAAGGTCCTCTCAGTGCCGCGGCTGACAGACCCCTCTCCCCCTGGTGACCCCTGCCGTTTCCCTGAGGGCCCGCCTGGCCCAAAGAGCCTCCCAGGTCAAACCTCACCGGAGACGCGGCGTTTGCCGAGCTGTCGGGGCTCTCCTTGGCCATGACCCCCAGCACCTCGGCCATCAGGGAGGGCCCCAGATCCAAGCTGAAGGACAGCAAGGAGTCAGTGCGGGGAAACTCAAGGTCCGTGGTGTCCAGGTTGTCCATCCGTTTCTCCGATTCTGCTGCGGCAGGGCTCTCTTTCGGCTTGTCCAGCCTGGACCACCTCGGAAGGGTGCAGAATCCCGATTCCAACCCTGAACGAGAACAAGCAAGAGTTTGGCAAGGAAGACTTCTTCGGAATACAAATACATGCTAACTTTAAAAGATTGGCTAGGGTTAAGGGACATGTGCTCATTCTTTGCAACAACTGAGAAGGCTACGGGGCGAATTGGAGTTCAGATTAAAGCATAAAATATAGGAGCAGCATTAACCATTTTTTTGAATTTATTCATTTGTGGGATGTGGGCTTCTCTGGCTGGGCCCAGCTTTCATTGCCTGTCCCTAATTGCCCCTTGAGAAGGTGGTGGTGAGCTGCCTTCTTGAACTGCTGTGCTCCATGTGCTCAATGGCCCACAATGCTATCAGGGAGGGAATTCCAGGTTTTTGACCAAGCGACAGTAAGGGAAAGGTGATATATTTCCAAATTAAGATGGTGATTGGCTTGGAGGGTACTTGAAGGTAGTGGTGTTCCCATGTATCTGCTGCCCTTGTCCTTCCAGATGGAAGTGGTTGTGGGTTTGAAGTGATGCTGTTTGAAGATCTTTGGTGAATTCCTGCAGTGCATCAGTGCATTTGGCCCATTGAGTCTGCTGCAGCATTAATCATGACTGATTTGTTTCTCAACCCTCATTTCTCCTGCCTTCTCCCTGTAACCCTTGATCCCCTTACTAATCAAGGACTTATCTATCTCTGTCATAAAGGCACTCAATGACTTAAAGTCTCTTCAAGAGATCAACAATTTTGCTAGTATAACGTGGGAGCCAGTGAGTTAACCTTCTGACCAAGAGGTCAGGAGGAGCCAATGGAGCCAAGCATGGGAACAATAAATCCTAAAGAGAAAAATAAAACCAGTAACATTTGGAAATGAAGGTACTGGTTGCATGGAACTTTCATTTTGAGGCATACAGGCAAGTTGGACCAGTATGCGTCATTTACCTGTTTCACTGGTTTAAAATGATGGGAGGGCAGACGGGTTAGGGTATTTCGGGTAGTATGGAGTAGTAAGGAGAGAGCAGAGATGGAAATGGTGGCATATGTTTGGAACTGTTCTGAAGAATGGTCACTGGACTCAAAATGGTAACCCTCTCCTCACGGATGCTGCCAGACCTGCTGAGTTTCTCCAGTAATTTTTGTTCTTGTTTCAGAATTCCAGCATCTGCAGTCCTTCCTTTTATTGTAACCATCAAAAGGCCCAGTCTAGTGCTCTGGAGAGCATGGCAAACAATGGAATTTAAATTCACTTCATGAATAAATCTGAAACATGAAGCTAATCTCAGTCATGGTGACCATGGCAACCATCATTGATTGGAAAATCTCATTTAATTAGGGAAGGGAATCTGCCATCCTTACCCAGTCTGGCCTCAAAGTGACTCCAGACGCACAGCAATGTGGTTGACTCTTAACTGCCTCCAGAAATGGCTTTGCAAGCCACTTACTTCAAGGGCAATCAGGGATGGGCAGCAAATGCTGGCCTTTGCAGTTACATGCACATTTCATGAAAAATGAGTTTTTAAAAAGGGCAGAAGAAAGAAGGGACAATAGGAGTAACGTGAGATGGAACTGGGCAGAGGGTCAGGCAAAAGAGAGAAGAGGATAAAGGAAAAGCGATTGGGGCTTAGGGGATAAGGGAGTGAGAAATATGAATGGTAAAAGGAGGAGAGCCTGCGAAGACATGGGAGAAGTTGAAAAGAGAGGACTGGGCAGGATGAGTGTTATTAACCTGTAAGTTCTTTCAGGATGAGATCAAATGGAATGAGGGAGCATGTGATGTTTATCTGTTTATTGAAGGATAATTGGGGAGCAATTGGGAAACATGGGTAATTTACTGGTGCTAAGAAAAATCTGTTTGTCGTGTGATAACATTTTCAGATATGAATAAAAATAATTGTGGGACAATAAGGGCTCTTGTGGTCAATGGTGGTATCCCTGCCTCTGAGCCAGAGGCCCGGGTTCAAGGCCCACCTGCTTCAGAGGTGTGCAATAACATGTCTGAACAGATTGATTAGAAAATATGTACAAATGGGAGGTGCTTGAGTGGATGTGGGAATGAGTGTGGTTGGAAGTTGTGATGTGTGAACTGAAAAATAAATATCTGACTATACATGAGTGATCTTTGTCTGACCAGCATTTTAACCTGGTATTCATCGGAGATGAAGAAAAAGAGAGAATGGAAGGAAATTAAGGATGAATGGAGAGTTAATTGGAATTTACCGTATGATCCATCCATCACTCCTGGACTTGACACCACGCTTTTGAAATTCAGTCGCTCCACTGACCCATTCTTTGTCTCTAACAGATGTGGCAAGGAAACGGCGTTCTTAATGATTGGGGACACTGCTGGTGGAGGTGACATCTCTCGGCTACTGTTGCGGCTCCTCATTGGTGGCTTCCTCACATTCCTCAGTGCTCGGACGAGTGGGTTGGACTTCGCAGTCTCATGCGCCTTCTCCCCTCCATGGTCACTGAGGAAGGAGGTGTCGCCAAACACATCTCCACCCCGGCCTACGTGCATGGTGTGCCGGAAGTCACCCAATGGCGAGCTAATCATGTCAGGGGTCAGCTCAGACTTGAACCTACGCTTGCCATGAGAGTTGGAGACCAGGTTCTTGAAGACCGGCAACTTTCCCAAACTCATTTTTGAATCTTTAGTGTCCCTACAACTTTATCGACTTGAAGAACTATGCGGGTACAGAAGACTGATGAAGTTTCTTGCACGACAGATGGACTTGTACAAAATCAGATACATCAGCACAACCTGAACCTTAACACAGGAATGCCAAATAAAACTGAATGTTAACTAATTTTCCCATTAAGTAATTTTGGCACAAAATAGGTATGAAAATTTAAAAATTTCAAATCATTTGTAGTGTTTTTTTTAAAAAGGAATGAATTTTACACTATTCTTGACTTGATTACTGATATCCTGTGAGCAGGAATAATCAGATTGACAGAAAATATTTTCTATATCTTTTTAAAGTGATTTACTTTGAATACAAAAGTCATGTGATTGTCAGGGGTGGTCATACAGATTTTGTTTTCTCTCCTATCTTCATCTAGTTTCTGATGTCAAACATGGACTGGGTTGGCTGTTAACACTTCTGGCCTTGTGAGCGGTGTGGTTTGTGGGAGAGGTGTGATGTAATTGTCTCTTATCTGACCCTTCTGTTAATTATAAATGAAATTCACTGTTGGATTTTCAGCAGATAGTTTACTGTCTAGGGCTGTTCTGCAGGGCACAGCTTCCTGGGTGGAGGTTTAGGCAAAGAGTATTGTTTCATTGTTAGGCGTTTCAGAAGCTGTCAGAGTAAAGATGGAGATTCAGCCAATTTAAGCTCAATGCACCCAGAAGGGCTGCTTGTTGGATGCACTCATCAATTAAAGAGTCAAATCTTTGGGCAGCTCGGCTTTAGATGTCAAAGGGCCTGTAAACAAAACAGAAGACATGGACTCACTAAAAATAGCATCAAACCACAGAAAATTGAATACAAATCATCTCTGGGATATTAAATAACTGAATTTCTCAATGCATTTACATGCATTAGAAGCGACACACATTCACATACAGGGGCCCATTCTCTGCAAACAAAAGGAATATGTTCGAGCCTTGTACTCTTTTAAATCTGAATTTCACAGGAGCTCGAGATGCCATTAGTTTCTTGTTGCTTTCTCCCTGGCATTTTCTTGGCCAATCAGAGTTGATCTGCCAACCAATCAGCACCTGTCCTTCTGGTGTATAAATAGTTTTGATTGATGTGAAATTTGGCATTCTTGTGAACGTCCTGATGAGTGCAAGCCTTTATGGTAACCAGTCTTCCTTTTCAGTAATATTCAAAGTTTCTTTCTTGTGTGAAATAAAAGTTCTAAAGCCCATTTTAAACTGAAAGATGTAAATAATTGTAGCTATTGTTTTGCTAGAATATGTAAAACAAAGGGCTTTCCACAGTGCCAGAGTCTCAGAACCTTTGTGTTGCCATGACACCTTTCACAACTTTAAGACTCCCCCAAATCACTTGATACCTAATGAAGAATGTTTGAATATTGTCACTGCCGTAAATTTAGGAATAGTGTGGCAGGTTCCAGGGCTTCTAATGCTTATTTTGTTCTTGAAATGTGGCAGATGACTAGTGCACAGCAAGGTCCCACAATTCTCCATCAGGTAATTAATCTATCTCAGTGATGTTGATTGAGGGATAAAGATTTATCCCAGCCACTGGGCAGAAGATCCCCTGTGAGTTACTTAATTAGGGCAGTGGGATCTTTAATGCCCACTTAAGGGGGCAGATGGTGTTTGGATTGATTGTGTTACCTGAAATGCTTCCTTATCTCAGACACCAGCATTCACTGGTTGGTCCTGCACAAGAGCACAATGATGGTGGCTGGTTAGAGGACACTGTGCCAACTTGTGGACCCTGCAACAAGGCAGTGTGTGAAAGAAAAGGAAAGCCACAGCAAAAAAAAAGGTACAAATAAATGGATGGGAGGTGATCTTGTGGTGCAGTGTGCACTGTCCCTGCATTGAAGCCAGATATTGAGTTTCAGTGCCATTCCAGGACTTGATGGCCAAAGGAAGTTCGTAAAATGACCAAAACAGATTGTGTATAAACCTGTAAATTCTGCCCAACTCACATTGATGACAGGCAGTAAGAGCTGGAGAGGTTCCTGATCGGCCGTGTAGAATGGATAGTATAGAATCCCTACAGTGTGGAAACAGGCCCTTCAGCCCAACAAGTCCACACTGACCCTAAGATATCACACCCAGACCCATCTCCTTATAACCCACCTAATCTACACATCCCTGAACACAATGAGCAATTTAGCATGGCCAATCCACTAGCCTGCACATCTTTGGACTGTGGGAGGAAACCGGAGAAAACCCATGCAGACACGGAGAATGTGTAAACTCCACACAGACAGTCGCCCGAGGGTGGAGTCAGACACGGGTCCCTGGCACTGTGAGGCAGCAGCGCTAACCACCATGTCACCCGTCTTGAGAAAAATGTTGGAGCCTCCACCAGCTCTATCCATAGCTCCGGAATGAGGGAGAGAGAAAAACATCAGTCCTCTCCGACATGTATCTGCGATCGTAGCATAATCATTAACATGTCGAGTGTCTGATTTTTGCTTATTTTAAATCCTTTCTGAGCCAATAGTGTGGGAGGAGTACAGTGGTAGCATCCCTACCTCTAGGTGAGAAAGTCCAGATTCAAGTCTTATCCCAGGATGTATTGGCCATGGAAGGGGTGTCATGATGTGGCTCACTTCAGGCTGATAATCAGTCTGAGAATCCATCCCCTATCAAAAATTGCAGCCATGAAGATTCATGAAAAAGGGCCAATGATATAGGTAGGCTTGGGATTCTGAAGATTTGAAATACATCAGGCAAGTCAAATTCTTTAAGGGTAATGAAAGGCTCGTGCATTAGTGGGGCCTTGAGTTCTGATTAAGGCCTCATCCCTACTCTACCTGTTAGGCAAGCCTTCTCCTGAGGTGATTGACAAGCCTGTTGGCATTAAGCAGGGGACTGGAACAGTTCCCAAGCCTGATGAGCGGGAACTCATAAACATTCTGGTGTTGAAACATGAATATACGATTTAAACTTCACCTGAGCTGTTCTCAGTGTTTGAACCTGATTTTAATCACAACACCAATGGTGGCCCTGCCTTCAGTTGCCAAGGCCCTCAGCTGTGAATTAAGATGCTCCTTAAAGCTCACACTTGACCAAACATTTTGGTCATGTGTCCTCATATTTCTTCACGTGGCTTGGTCAAATGTCATTCCTGTGCAACACCTTCAGATGACTTACCTTGTTAAAGGTACTATAGAAATGCAGGTTGTTGCTACAGAAAGCAACAAGAGAAATCTAAGCATAACCACCTGGCCTGACTCTGGAAATAGGGAAATGGTGAGGGAGCAAAAGTTGTACCTTTCTCAGCTCTGCCTTTCAAGGCACCACCCTTGTTCTTTAGGGACAGGTTCAAACTTGTGAAAAACTTTAGTCTTAGGAAACATTTCATTTGAGATTTTGTACTAAGTGCTTGCAGAAGGAACTGTCATCGCTGAACTCTCTGACTCGCGAAGTGACAGTGCTACTCACTGAGACACAGCAGGAGGTTTTTGAAAGGGAAGATAAAAATATTTTTGTGCTTTTCTTGACCGCTGGACATCTCAAGTCCACTTTGTAGGCAACAAAGCGCCTCTAAATTGTGGTCATGATGTCATGTAGGAAATGCAGCAGCAAGTTCCAATGAAGAACAATGCAGTAGTTGTAGAATAAAGGATTGAACATATTTGTGCTATGTATCACTACTGAGCACGTGCAAATTAGAGGTATGACATAATGACATCAGATCATGTGGAGCTTGAATGGAAACAGAAAATTGCTGGAGAAACTCAGCACATCTGGTAGCATCTCTGGAGAGAAAGCAGAGTTAATGTTTTGCATCAATACAAATCTTCTTTGGATCCAAAGGAGAGTGACATTGGCCCTGAAACATTAACTCTTTCGCTCAACATAAGCTGCCGGATCTGCTGAATTTCTCCAGCAATTTTCTGTTTTATTTCAGATCTCCAGAATCTTCAATATTCTGCTTTTATTCATATGGAACCAGAGCAAGAGTGTATAGGGCTCCAAGCTGTCCTCTATTACTATCTTCCATATATAATTATGTTCAATTGAGCCTGTTGCTGTGCACTCTCGAGCGTAGATCACACATTTCTACAGTAATAACCAGATAATCTGTTCTCGTCATATTGATTAAGGACCAGGACACCAAGAAATTAAATCCTTGCTCATCTTTGAAATAGTGGCATGGAATCTTCTACACCCTTTTGCACAAACTGAGAATGCCTCTGTTTAACATCTCATCTAGAAGACAGCACCTTTGACAGTGCAGCACTCTCTCGGTCCTACATTTGAGAAACACCAGCATTTCTCCTTTGTTCTCAAGCCCTGGAGTGGAGCTTGAACCCAAAACGCAGAGACGAGAATGCTCCCTGCTGGCCCACAGCTGTAACTAGGCTATCACAAGGTAAGGAAGTGACAGTCAAATCCAATCCTGCATTGGTTAATGACTTTGGGCTTTTAACTACCAAATGTCAGGTTCTCTCCCATTCTTTCCATAGCACTTTACAACCCGTGACCACTACCATCTGGAAGAACAAGACCAGTAGATATATGGGGACACTGTTAGCTTCAAGTCCTCCTCCAAGTCACACACTATCTTAACGTCAAACCACATATCCACTTCTTCATTATTGCTGGGTCAAATTACTGGAACTGTGGGTACCCCTATACCCTGAAAACTTAGCCATTTGAGAAGGCAGCTCACCACTGCATTTTCCAGGGCAATTATGGATAGGCAATGTTCAGCCTGGCCAGTGACAGCCACAACCCATTAACAAATACAAAGCAATGTAATTTATCATCCCACATTAATCACCTTTATTCATGGAGATTACATTACCAGCCCTGAACTCACCATCCTGGATGCATCATCGTAAGAAAAGCAGAAAACAGTCAACAACTTGTTATTCTGAACTATCAGAAGGATGACAGTGACCTGAAGACTTCAATTCAACCCTCACCTTCTGCTGAGAGTAATAAAACACTGCATTTAATAATTAAATTAGGATTGC